CCCAGGAGTCCTGGCTCCCAGCCCCCCTGCTCTAACCCACCAGCCCCCACTCCCCTCCCACAGCCGGGGGCTGGCTGTCCTGGGGCGAGCTGGGCACTGGGGGAGGGCTGGGTTGGGTGTGGGGGGTCAGACATGGGAGCCAGGCCCGGGGGGGCAGTTCGGGCTCTGGTGCCCCCCTCCCGCCCCCCGGGATCCTGATTTCAGTCTGTGCAAAACTCCCCTGGGCTCAGAGGGTGACTGAACTCAGCTCCCTGCCGGAGGGTGGCGGGGGAGCCGTTGCCCCCTATCCCCGTCGCCAGCCCAACCCGCCCGGCTGCTCCCAGCCCGTCAGCCCGCCCCAGCGCAGCCCGGCCCCGCCGGAATCAGCCGGAGACCGATGACGCTACCCGGAGCCGCGCGCTGATTGGCTGGGGGTGGAGGGGTTACTTGAGTTCAAGGTGAAGTGGAAGCTTCTGCGGAAAGACCCGAGAGCGGGGCGGGCCGGGGCTAGCGGGGGGGGGACACTGGGCCCCGGGGGGGATGGGACCGACGCTCGCGCCAGCCCTACCAGGGACACGGGACCCCCCCCTCGTGTGGAGATGCACCGAGAGCCATGGGGGGGGGGCTAACCAGGGAGGGGGTGTTAGCCCAGGCGGGGGGACTGGGCCCGGGGCACTTGGGGGTCGGGGGCAGAGGGGCTGGGCTGGGGCCAGCTGTGCCAGCACGGGTGTGACGGGTCGGATGGGGGGGGCTAAGGAAGGGGCAGGGCTGGGGGCTAGCGCTTGGGGGAGCGCGAAGGTTGGGCTCCCCTCACCCTAATGAGCCCAGGATCCCAGCCCCCAAACACGCTGCACACGGCCCAGCCCTCGGCCCAGTCCCCAGCCGGGTGAATCGGGGCTGGACTCCCCCGCAGCGAGTGCTGGGCCGGAAGTGACACCCACCAGGAGCGGGCCCCCAGCACGGCTCCATCGAGAGCCAGGCCAGCAGGGACCATCGGATTGTCTGGCCTGTGCCCCTGCAGCCCAGCCCAGGCCAGAGACCCCTGGCCAGTCCCCGGTGCCTGGTTGGACCAAGGCATTTCAGCCCTTGGGGGACCGAGCTGATGTGGCCCCAGCCAGAGACCAGGAGGGACCGAGGGGCCCCAAGGGCCGACACCCTGCAATGGCAGGGACCCAATCCGCTGAGCCCAGCCTGTGACCCACACCCCGCGCTGCAGCAGAAGGGGGAAATCTCCCAAGGGCCCTGCCTGTCTGTCCTGGGGGAGATTCTTTCCCTGCCCCCAATCTGGGGACCCCCAGCATGTGAGCCAGACAGAATCTTGGAGCCGCTCAGATTATCCCTCCAACCCCCATGCGGTGCCCTGTCTCAAGCTGGGCTGAGCCCTGACGCTTCAGCAGAAAAGCCCCAGAGACGTCTGGCCAACAGGGCCCCGTGGAGTGTCCTCTTTTTGTAGTATTGAAATGTGGTAACCCTAGTTCTCAGAAGTGGCCGCGGGTCCCCCGCACCAGCAGCTGGCTGCAGAGACGCCACCGCTCCTAGCCGTGGGGTGCAGGGTTGCAGCAGCATGGGGGGGGGGTTGCAATCCGCAGGCTGAGTGAGCTGACACCCCAAGAGGAGAGGGGGCAGTGGGTAGGGTTATCATACGTCCGTATTTTCTGGAT